GGGGGGGGGGAGTGTAGACGAATCATCCACACATTAAAATTACCTTATTTTCTAAGAATTTGTAAGCTAAGATTAAGTTCTTAGCCTTTTATTTGTAACTTGTGTGAAAGACCAAGTTATGTTTATCAAACATTCAAATAACAGGAAGCTGAGATAAATTTCAGTAACACGTTAGAGGACAGAGTAAGATTCAGAAAGCTCTTGACAGGGTAGAGCATGAGTTGGCTCTAGCTAAGATGAGGTCTAATATAACTGGATATCCTAAGAGATAATAAGGCCTGATAAAAAAGACAAACCAGTGTTAGCATTAAGGTCATTTTAAATTGAAAATGTGACAAAGCTCCAAAAGGGCAACAAGCACTTTCAAGAGTTAGTAACACGTCCAATATTCTATGCTGCTCACTCTTTACCCAAAGTTCAGTACTGGTCCAGAGGCACCACATTTTAATACCAATGGCATTCTTCTCAGAACAACTAATCCTAAAGTTTATATGGGACCACAAAAGACCCCAAATAGCCAAAGAAATCTTGAGAAAGAACAAAGTGGGGATCACGCTCCTTGATATCAAACTATACTATAAAGCTACAATAATCAAAACATTATGGTACTGGCATAAACACACACACACACACCCAATGGCATTGACTACAGAGCCCAGAAATAAATCCTTGATTATACAGTCAATCTATAACAAAGGAGGCAATAATATACAATGGGGTAAAAATAGTCTCTTCAATAAGTGGTACTGGGAAAACGACAGATACAGGCAAAAAAATTAAATTGAACCACATTCTTACACTATCTACAAAAATAAACTCAAAATAGATTAGACTTAAATGAAAGACCTGAAACCATTAAAACTGCTAGAAGGAAACAGGCAGTAAATTCTGACATCTGTCTTAGCAATATCTTTTTGGATGTATCCTTGGGCAAATGCAACAAAAGAAAAAAATAAAACAGCATCAAACTAAAGTTTTCCACAGTGAAGAAAACCATCAACAAAACGAAAAGACAACCTACTGAATGGGAAAAATATTCGTCAATGACACATCTGATAAGGTTTTAATACCTAGAATATATAAGAAAGTCATACAACTCAACGCCAAAGAAACAAACAAAAATGGGCAGAGGACCTGAACAGACATTCCTCCAAAGAAGACATGCAGATGGCCAATACACGTATGAAAAAGTGCTCAACATCACTAATCATCAGGGAACTGCAAATCAAACCACAGCAAGATACCATCTCACACCTGTCAGAATGGCCATCACCAATAATGGCCATCATGCTGGCAAGGCTGTGAAGAAAAGGGAACCCTTGTGCACTGTTGGTGGGACTGTAATTAGGGCAGCCACAGTGGAAAGCAGTATGGAGATTCCTCAAAAAATTAAAAATAAAGTTATTTTTAATTAAAAATTCCTCCTCTGGGTATTTATCTGAAGAAAACACTACTACTTGGAAAAGATATATGCACCACTGTGTTCAATGCAGTATTATTAGTAATAGCCAAGATATGGAAGCAACCTAGATATCTACCAACATATGAGTGGATAAAGAAGAGAAGTGGTTTATGCATGTACATACACAAATACAGAGGTATTATTCAGCAATAAAAAAGAATGAAATCTAGACATTTGTAACAATGGACGGATCTTAAGGATATTATGCTAAATGAAATGTCAGACAAATACCGTATGATTTCACTTAGTTGTGCAATCTTAAAGAAACACAAAAAACAGAAAACAGACCCATAGATTGGGAACAAGCTGGTGCAATGGCTAACTTGAAAACGCCCTGGGGTATGTGCATTTACCGCCTTCCCTGCACTGACAATTTGAAAGAATACTGGCATTCTGAGAACAGGAAGTGAACATCAGATGAATGGGGTTCAGGGAACATAAGATAAACAGGGCCCAGACTGAGAGCCCTGTATGGCTACTGCCCAGCTTCGAGGCAAACACAAAGCCCTTCAAGTTTTGAGAAGACAAGAACATGATTACGGCACTGTGACTAGATACATCAGGGCTAAAAGAGACCACCAGCCACTGAACCAATTAGGAGGCCATCTGCACAAGACCAATGTTAGTAACAGGGAAGGAAAAAATTTTGTACCTGATGTAAAGGAAAATCAACAGAACTTTTAAAAGGGAGGAGAGTCAAATATGATGGTTAAACTGTTCCACCTGGTTAAGTGAACTACTAGTGTTCCTATAAGGTATGTGGGAAAGGAATACAAATAAGGGGTTTGGTTTCAGACGTGTTCAGTCTGAGGTGATAAAAAGCATTTCAAATGAAGGTTTCCAAGACGGCGTACAAATGGGACCCCTGAGTTTAGGCAGCATAGCCTTACAGTATGTGCCTGCTTGTAGATGAAATTTCCCCGGGAAAAGGAAGAGATGAAGCTGAAAAGCCTTAGGGAATGTGTCCATTTAGGGAAAAGAGAAGAGGGGGGGAGAAAGAGAAAAACACACACATTTTCTTAGGTGTTTAAAAAGCCGGGCAAGAGACCACCAGATGGTCGAGAGGGCAAACACCATTCACTGAGCCACTAACTAGGTGCCAGGTAGTTTCACATACATTGTTTTATTTGATACTCAAAGACCTTAAGAACTGTTATCCCAACTTAACAAAAGAGGAGAAACTGAGGACCAATAGCATTAAATAATTTTCTCAAGTTCATATAGCAAAAATGGGGTCCAACTCTTCAAAAAGTGGAGCGGTAACAGTGTCAAATGAGAACTGAAAAAGAGTCCTGGATTTAGCAATTAGGTAAGTTACACATATCCTTCAAAAATGAAGTCTCAATACTGAGTAGTAAAATAAAAAGACAGGGGCTCAGCCCTGGCTGGGTGGCTCGCCTGGTTGGCGACACTCTGGGTGGTTCACAGTGTTGTCTGTACACCAAACGGTCTCGGGTTCAATTCCTGGTCAGGGCACATACCTAGGTTGCAGGTTTAATCCCTGGTCAATGTTCCTCTCTCTCAAAAATCAATAAAAACATATCCTCGGGTGAGGATTAAAAATAAAAAGATGGGCTCAAGCCAGATAATGGAAGACTAGAGCAAAGTGAAAACGCAGCTAATTTCCTGCATAGAAATTTGGTTTATAAAACTGAAGAACAGAAGCTACAGGCATACCTCAAAGGTACTACAGGTTCAGTTCCAAACTGAGCGAGCCTAGAAATAAAGTGAGTTATAATCTTTCTGCTGGTGGAGGGTCTTACCTTGAATTTGTAAAGAACACAACACCTGTGAAGCGCAACAAAGCGAAGCGCAATGAACAGAGGTATGCTTATAATGCAGTCAAGAAAAGTTAAATTAATGACCTCCTTTCTTTCCCCAAGTAGAAAACAACCTGTGGGCATGCATAAGCAGACAGAATGGACCCAATGAAGAGAATAAAGATCTTGAGGAAGAAAAACACTGGAGGTCAGAGAATAGGGACATGGACACAGAGAAGAGGTCCAGTACCTGAAAAAAGCAGAAGGTATGGGCACAGAGGAGCAAATATTTAGATGTGTACAAGAGGGTCAGATGCAATTTTGATATTCCACTATTCAGTTACAGTGTAACAAAATAATGAAATATAGTACATTGTTTTCCTTGTTACAAATACCACTATTTCATTATTTTAATTTGAGTCTGAAACCCAAATTATTTACATCTTGAAAACAGGGTCAACAAATAATTAAAAAAAAAACTTGCTGAATAACTCTTCGTTACTCAAAGGTTAAATTAGTTCCAAGTTGAATTGTTTTTATGATCTTCAAGGAAGAAAATGACAGCCAACAGTGAAAAAATAATTCCTATTCTAGTTCTAGAGTTCAAATGAACACATATGTATGACTACTGAAATTGATACAGATACCTGCATCAGAATCTTCATCTACACATGATGAAACTAGGGAAGATGAAGATACTTTCTTTGAAAAAAAGACTGATGTCCCTGCAAAAAAAACAAAAAGTCACTCAATGAAAGTCACCACACAAGAGGTTAGATTTTCTGAAGATAAAAGATTCAGATGGAAATGCTTAGAATTGGCTTAAAACTGTCTCCTAACCATTACTTTAAGAAGTCAGAAAAACCTTTTTCAGAAGTTGGAAAATGTGCTCAAAAATATACATTCAACCTAAACGACACCATGGACAAACCTGGTTTTAAAAGACTGCATTGCAATAAAAGATAAAATTACATTTTATTACAAATTCCCACTATCATTTCTTTTTATGGATGGTTTAGTCTGGTTTTAAAATATTTTCTTTTTTATTAATGTTACTTATTAATTCATAGAATAATATATATTTAACAAAAACATTTTTATTTTAATGAATGTTTAGTGACTTTATTTTTATGAATGTTTTTAATGGATTTATAAATTTAGACACTTGAATGATATTAAATGTTTCACTGATTTTGTTTTAATGAATTGCTTTGATGGTAGAACATCAGGCAATGAATTCAGTATCATAATGTTCACTTCATCCTGACACAGCAATCCTGAGCAAGACAAGAGTCCTCATATCCGATGGCCTCAATCTTAGCTATAAAGAGGCTAGAGCTGGGAGACTAGACTGGATTGAAGCAGAGCTGCAACTTAATGAAAATGAAAACAAATTTAAAACATTGTGTGGAAGGCCTTCTCAGTTAAAAGATAATAAAAGAAATGCCAAGAGACAGTAAATACCAAGAATTTGTACTGGGCCACGTAATAGGCTTTGTGGCTTTACCAACAGTGCTACTTAACCAGACAGTTCTTGGGGCTTCCAGGATATGCAGCACATTAAAAATCCCCTTTATTAAATCTATCTGATCTCCCTCAACTAAAAGGACTTAACGTCGCTTAATTTATATACTCAGCCAGGGAAGGAATCAGGAAAAACGGAGAGTCACTAGAAGCATAAACCAGACAGATGAAAGAATACAAACCGTCAACCGCACTTTTTCACCAGTTTGGAAACGGGTTTAACTGTAAATATAAGTTCAGAGTGAACTCCCCCAACTTTTACCTGATCATAGAGAAAAAACACACCCAGAGTAGAAAGCTGTTAGAAATTCAGCTATCTTGCTTCGAAGCACCCTATAAGATAGAACTACATTTTAATACATCTGACACTTGAATGCCTACCAATAAAGAAGAGATTTCCCTATTTTCAGAAACCCACTCTCACATAATGGCACGAAAAGGGTAAGTTTAAATAGCCTACCCTTTAAAATAAATATCTTCCAGCATTCTGTAGTACTGTAAGCAGAGAAAAAATAGTTGAACCATATGAAAAAATTATATGAAAATATAATTAAAACAATTGGGTTCTACAATATAGAAATTAGTATAAATTCCTATCAAAAAAGAATCATCAAGAATACAAGAAAATATTAAAGACAAAAATCACATATTGTGCCTGCCCCTTCCCACCACATCCTGAATTTTAAAGACAAGGATCCTTAAGACCATTTAAACATAGTCACTAGATGCTGCTGACTTTTTTTTATATGGCTAGATTTCCCCCCACCCCTCATTGTCTAAAGGGTATTATTTTGTATCTCAAAAATCACTATATGACTTAAACTTTAATGAAAGACTTGGAGAGTTACATTCAAAATATCTTTCACTTAAAAAGTTACTTAACCCAAAATAGTTACTGTTTGAAAAAAAACTTCTGATGAGTTAAATGATAGGAGGGTTTTAAATACTAAACTCTTAAGACTAAATGTCATGAATCAGCATTTCAGCTCAATTCAGAACTGGAAATGGCAAGCAGGGTCAGCTTAGGCCAGGGTGACAAGAGAGAAATCACTTTTCACCAGGTAGGGAAGTCTTCACAGAGAGGAGGTTCTTGGAAGGTGGAGAGGTTCTGACCAGTGAGTGGGCTTCAAGCTCACTGAGGCCTTTTTAGGGAGGCCTTTTGTTGGAGAGACTAGCCACGGAGCACATGGAAAGGTCTCCGGTTTGTGTAAAGCACATGAGCAAGGGAGCGGTGACTAAAAAGCCTGGAGGTTGACTGGAGCCAGATCAGGACGAAACCTGAACATCCTGCTGAAGAGGCTGGACTGAGATCAGTAGGCAGGGGCAACTCTGGAGATTTCTGAGAAGTAAAATAGAATTCAAAGTTTAGGAAGATTCGTTGGGTGGCGACAGGTGGAAGTTGGTGGGGAGAGGAGGGTTGAGCGCGAAACCGTCCCCTACCAGGACAGAGGACCCGAATCCAGGAATCCAAATTGGAAATGATAAAGCCCAGAACTGGCAGACGGAAGAAACTTATGGAAGAAACTTAAAAACGCCCCTGAGATTTTGAATACGAGTGATTAAGTGGTTCTATTAACATAAATTAAGACACTAATTAATATCTACTCAGGGAAGGCAAAGGACAGTTCTGGTAGAGGTATACACTTAGTTCAGGCATCCCACAGCGCTGCAGGCCTCGGTGCTCCTGCCGAAGCCAGGCGGTTCCTCTGCGTCCCTAAGGGCTACTCCTACACGCGAGAGCACGTTTTTGAAAAGTGAGAGTCACGCTTCATAATCCATGTACATCTGGCAAAAACACAAAGAAAGTCGCGCAAAGCTGAATTTGGGTAAACCGCTCGGGATAAGCTGTTCCAACCATGAAAACACCGACGTTATCCTCAGAGAAAACCAAAAGCCTCCCAGCTGCCCTCCGTGTTCAACTTCCCACTTGGGATGAGCTTTTCCAGCTCCACAGGCTACATCCGGCCCGCAGGTCCCCGCGCCGCAGCATCTCCGTCTCCTGAGCTCAAGGACCACAGCGGGGCCCCGCCTGCCTTCCCCTGGCACACGGGGCCGGAGAGGCCAGGCCT